TTTATCTAGTTTTTAGTTACTGCTGGTGGTCTTTTCAAAGGTGACGGTTATTGGCAATTTTATTTTGTACTCGCGTTTGGACTTCAAATTTGCTAAAGCAACCTCAATTATCAATGACTACTCTTTCAGTCACTTGACCGATAATGGGTCGTTTGAAACAAGTAAAGTTGACACCAGTTTATATTGTTGTTACCGTAATCTCTTTCCTTGTCAATATGGATGTTTTGAAAGATTTAAGCTTCACTGGTTTTGTTTTTAGTGAAGAAATCTTTGATTTGCTTTAAGGAATATGAGCTATTAAAGACCGTTGGGAAGGGCGGTTTTGGTACCGTCTACTTAGCAAAACGTTTGCGCGACAACAAAGAAGTGGCTATAAAGAAGGTAAGGACTAGTGCTTTTTCAGCCCTCGTTGTTTCCTGAACTCTTGTTTTACTGGTGTGCCTGTATAACAGTTATTGTCGTACGCTCATACTACCATTTTTGGAGATTCCTCGAGACAAAGCACTCTCAAAAAATGTTAAAAAAGAGATAAATGCCCTGAAGCAATTGGAGCACTCAACCATTATTGAGTTTTACGATGAATTTGTTGATGGCGGTGTTCAATATATAGTTATGGAATATTGCCCTCATGGGTCGTTACGAGATTATGTTCTTAACCACGAAAAACTACCGAAAGACTGTGGTGTGTAAGCTTGTTTCTTCAAGACATTTTCGAGTTTATTTATTTGTCCTTTAACTGCTCTCTATTTCGTAGCACATCATTTCTTGGTTATTAGTGATGCCTTTCTGCAATGAGGTGGTGTTGCTTTGTAGCTCACTACAGTTTTTTTGATATAGAATTTAAAAAAGTATTTGTTCTGAACTACTCACCGTTTTAGAGTGAGTATTTTAGTAAAAAACTTGGTGTATTTTTTCATTTTCGGGCCATTTTTAGTTGCGTACGTTCTTCGCCGCTTAGTAAGTGGTGTTATGTACATTCATTCGATGAATATGGTGCATCGTGATCTCTCTGCTCAAAATATTTTAATTTGTGACATACGTCGTCACGGAATATTGGAAGTGGTAAATATTATCGCTTTAATAAAGGTTGCTCTTTGCAGTAGAACTACTTGTGTAAACTTTAGAAAATCAGCGATTTTGGTTTATCTACCATCCTTCAAGAAGGAGGATTGCATACACTTGCAGGCACACCAGGGTACATGGACAGGTAATGAGGATAGGCTTGAGTTTTTGTGTTTTTGTGGTTTGCTTGTTTTGGGTTTGGTCTGTAAAATCTCTTGTTCGTCATTTAGTTTACTTAAACTGTTTCTCGGCTCTTGCTTCGATAGAAGTATCGTGTTTCACTAGGTTGTCATAATATGGACTCATCAATTATGAATTTAGAAATGTTCTCCGACGTCAGTACACCGAGAAAGCGGATGTTTTTGCATTGGGGGGTATTCTGTACTTGATGTTAACGAAGATGGAACCTCCTCCTTCATTGAATGATCCCCTGAACCTGAGGAGGCTCGACGATGCCGAGAGAGATCTTGTTGTGGAGATGAGGTTGGAGAACGAAACTGATCGAATATCTTTGCAAGGTAAGCTTTTAGTCTGTCATACACTTCTCAGTTTCTAATTATTTATTTAGGTCTTAATAAATTTGGAGAGGGTTCATGTTATTTCAAAAATTTAGGCCTTGTTCTTTTATGGCGCTTTTTACTGAGCACTCGAAAGATTGCTTCTTTTTTGGTGTATAATATTACCTATTTTTAGGGGTATTGAAAAGCTCATTTATGGAAACATACGGCCAAAATTTGCGTAGTACTTCTCGACGTAGCTCTTACAGTTCATCTCGTGATCACTCTTTGGAGGTTGGTTATTTTATTCAAAAGTTTCGATTTAAACCACAGGTGCTTTTGCTTCTTTTGCGTACTTGATTTTTGTAACCTGTATGAGAGTTTTTGTTTAAGTTCAACATTTGCTTGGGTACACCTTTTTAGTGATTTGTGATGTTTCCACTCTTTTGGGCTTTTTAAACTGTTTGAATTAGATGTATTCATCACATTTATGAAGATTAACTAGAAATTCATCGAGGTTTTTTGTTTTGTCCTTAATACACGTTTGCACTTTTCCTTGCTTGCTTTTCTTCTCTGGTTGTTTTAAATTTTATGTGTGTCCTACAATTGTTTTTATAGCGAAGAATATCAAACGTTCCGTCTTCTACTCGCTCCAGGTCGCTAAGGTCAAGGACCCAGTCACATAACGTAGGTACGCGGGATTCCGCATTCGTGAGCGGGGGAGTTCTTGAAGCTGAGAAGGTTGTGAGTTTCGACACTCTTGATAATTTCTCTTGGATCTTGCTTTCTATTTGTTCCTTTAAAAAATCTGTATTTTCAAATGGCTCAGGAGCCTTCGAAACGAGGTGAGTGGTACTGTAGAAACGTGGACCATCGTGATGGCTATGTGGGTTTTCGAGGGAGCGGAAGCGGCCCCGTAAGGTGTAGGAGGTGAATAGCAACATATTCTTCAAAACTGTTTTGTACTGCCGTAAATTATGACATTTTCCTCTTGACACTGAAATATTATTCTTACTAGCAGTGTTTTTTCCCTAATTGTTTAACGAATCCTTCAGGCTCTTTTATAACTTAAAAAACATTCAGAAGCAGTATGTCACCTACTAATGCGAAAGAAATTCCTACTTCGTTAGGCAAAGGGGTTTCAGCTCCTGATTCCTTGAACATTCAGAATATTGTTTGGCCTTTAAAGGGCTTGGATCAAATCGTATCATGCAATATCGTCAAACGAGATGGCAGGGTTTGTTTGTTATTTGCTGCTATAACTAAATCTTTTTTTCAAGGCCTCAATATGTGTGAAACAAGAGTCTTTTCTTCTAAGCTTCCAATGCCAACTTCGGAAACGACTTTTTCTTCAACTTTTTAGAAGTTATTATTTACGGCCTTCTTTTAAGTATTTGTTCAAAAGGAATGGGCCTGTAATTTTCGAGTGTTGTGGCAGCAGGAAAGTAGTTCGGAATGTTGTGGTAGTTAAAGTTTGGCCAGGGGCGTCACGACAGCAGTTACAAATATTTGAAACAGAAGAAAAGTCAGACGTACCTTTCGAAGATGATCCACCTTTGCGACTGAAATCACAGCCTAAATTAGTTTTCAATAGGTTATTTTTTAGTTTAATTTCTGGAAATACTGGGATCTGGTGACTGGTCACACAGTTCCACTTTTATAGCCATTTAAATCGTTTTGATCTAGTTTGGAGGAATTACTTGCACTGGATGAAAGGCGCGCACGTGGGATTCTCCTTTTATATAAGAAAATTTCCGCTGTTTACAATTCTCTCTCTAAATGCGCTACCCAAGGTGCTGTTGGAGCACATGGTCGTTTAGCAAGCAATGGAGAGTTCACTCTTCAGTTTGAAGATGGTACTGATTTCTGCTTTGGTAGCAGTAATTTATAAATGATCTTAAAAATCTTATTCCACTCTTATTTAAATCACCGAAAGCATTTTAGAGCCTCATGCGCTTTTGTATGATTAACTCACAATACTTTATTCGGATGGTTAGCATTCTAAATCAGTTTGTTAGACTGAATTAACTTGGCGACCAACAGCTCACTTGTAATTCTGATCATTTAAGGTAGAGTGGCAATTCAGAAATGCTCTTATGGACGAGTGGTGGTTACGGACAGCAGGAACGGGCCTTCGAAACTGTCTGAAGGTTTCTTATGAGAAGGCTGTTTAAGTGGAGCCACAAAAACGGTTTAACTAGTCGGGTTTTAGGGGAGTCGCAATTCTTCGAAGAAATACGCGCTGTTTTCCTGAAGTACGGACCAATACTTAGAAGGAGAGACTGCGAGCCTTTACGACCTTTAACCAGCACGGAAAATCTGAGGTACTCTTCATTTTGGAAAAGTAGAATTGGTATTTTCTCGAACTTTCCTGCCCTAAAAAATATGTTAGGTCGTGCCGAATAGCATCCATTCCCAAAAATGAAAGCCTGATGACTTCGAGAAAAGCGTTATCTGACTGCAAGTCACTAGTGGATACGAGCAAGTATACGCAGAGAGGTTTTTTTGAGGGGCCGTCTGAATATGCTAA